GAGGTGCATGTCCGTGGGCTCCCACTGCAGCTTGGTTGCGCCGTCCTCGTTTGTCAAATTCGTGCGACGCTTCATACCGTGGCAAACTAGGCCAATGTAATCGTAACACGGGTTAGACGAGGAATACGGTGAATGCGGCGGAAAAAAATACGCACGTCTTGGGATCAGCCGGTAGAGGATCCGACCAAAAGTATTGGTGGTCAAGGGCCTTTTCTGCGGTAATTCGCTCTCGCGGGTTGCAGGTGAGGAGCTTGTCCAGCAGGTCAACTGTCTCGGCCCCAATGCTACGGAGCAGCAAAATAGGTTAGCGACCTCATGCGAGTATGTGAGAATTACAGACTCTTCGTAAACAAGCCTCAACCGCCTGCTGTATGGCTTGAACCGTTTTACTCCCTCACATCCCGGCAAGGCGTCATACCCGGGCCAGGTCTGCTGCGAGGGCGAACCGCAAAGCTGCCATATCTTGTCTACCTGGTCCAGATCCGAAGATCCCGGAAGAATTGGCCTCCGCCAGAACATCTCCCCCAAGACGCAGCTGGGTCACACGTTAGTATATTGAACTTTCGCAACTTCACCAGCCCCGAAAAAAACGCACCCGATCCCCCACATGTCGACTTCTCCACCATACTGACGAGCGCCGAGCAGGAGTTCAGGCGGGCGATACCACCGTGTGACAACGCAGTTCGTATACTTGCGCTCCTTACCGCGAAAATCCTCCTTCACGTCAACGATGCTGGGATCATACGCCCGCGCGAGACCAAAGTCCGCAATCTTGAGCGACCCGGTGTTTGAGATGAGCAGATTCGCTGCCTTCATGTCACGGTGAAGGATATGATTCTAGCGGTAAAACTGGTCGGTCCTGTAGTGGAGCATGCGGCGCGCATCAAGCTTACCCGGTGCATGTACTCCGTGCCTTCCAATAGCTGTTTCATGTACAATTTGATCTGGCTTGGAGTCAGCTTCACCCGCTCGTTCTCGAGCAAGCCGGCGAGGTCGTGGTCCATGTACGGAAAGACCATGTACACCGACAACGGCGAGTCCTTACCCTTGCCTGCAAGGCGGCATCAGTACCGAACGCATCCAAAAAGCGATGAACACACTCTTCATCACGAACATATCCAAAATTTCAATGATGCAAGGATGCTGCAAAGCCTTGAGAATTTTGATTTCTCGCAAGGCTGTCACAGGCATTCCCTCCTTCTCATTATGCATCAGGATGCGTTTGAGTGCAACGGCATGGCCCTTCTCGCGGTGTATAGCTTTGTGAACCTCCCTGAGTAAAGTTAACAACGAATGCGTGAGGTCGAGGATTAGAGCCGGACATACCCAAATGTTCCTTCTCCCAGTTTGGTCAAGACATCATAGTCGTCATGCCGTCCACAGCCCATGAACATCCTACCGTACGCCTTGGCTTCCTCGTCCCGTGTCCTTACAACCACCTTCCGTTTCGGCCTCTGCACCACGGCCTTCACCTCACCAGGTTCTCTAAGATCGTCCTGCTTGGACGCATCGTCCTGCCTTACTTCCGCATCCTTCGCCGAAGCAGCCAACAATGGAAATGAGGGAGGTGAATGGGTGTTAAGAGGCGCAGGAGGTTTCTTGAGCGTTATTTTGATTGTAGCATGGTCAGTAGGCAGGACTCGGTCCTTACGTCCTTCCGGAGGCGGCGGGGGTGGCGGAGACTCGGGAGGGGATGGTGAAGTGTGCCCGGTGATCCCATTGTGAGGTGGCGAGTGCGGTGAGAGGGGCCGAGGGGTTTCTGCTCCTGGAGAAATTGGACGGTAGCTGTCCATCCCGCGACGGGAATAGTGCTGCGGCTCTGCGCGATCATCATATCGTAACCTATCTCGCCGCCAGTCGTCTCTGTCATCGTCGCGCGGCCGATGGTATCGGTCATCGTCGTGAACATACCTATCCGCCTCTCGTCCATGCTGACGTGACCAGTCGTCCCCACCATGGGCACGGTCATGTGGGCTGCGAGGGTGTTCTCTACTACGACTCCGCTTTCCCGAATCACTCCGACCATCATAGTAACTTTCCGAAAGTGTTGCGAGGTCCTCGGTTATTCTGCGCGGAGGTGGTAGGCGGTGTTTCTCTCTGGTGACAACGGGGGATAATGGCGAGCGAGAGCGGGGAGAAGAAGGTGAGCGAGACGACGCGCGATGCGGCTGGTCACGATGAGGGGAAACTGACGTCCGGGGCGGGTACTCCCACCGTTCCGGTGAGCCACGGTCGCCACCACGAGAGTGGTAGTAAGGAGCCGAAGGGTATTCGTGGTAATCCCATCTCAAACGAGAGCTATGCTCATACCGGCCCATGGATGGCTCCCAGCGATCCCCTCTCATTGAAACAGCTTGAGAATCGTGTCGTGACGGTCGTGGATGCATCCACCTCCGCTCGTCTTCTCTGTGTCTGTATTCCTCCTCTGACCTCACATAAGCCATCGGCGCACCTCTAGCCTTTTCATCCCCAACTGAAGATCCTCCCGGCTTATCATCACGATTTGTCGGTTTTCTTTTGAATGGGAACGGAACCTTCGTCTTCGGCGGAGTGGCTGGCCGCGCAGGCAGCGGCGACACGTCATCTAGCTCACCCTCCTCTGGGGAAGAGGTGGCCAGCCGCTTGGATGGTCTTGCATCGTCTGGAGATGTGGATGCAGAGCGTTTGGGGGGCGTCCTGGGCATGGCAGGACCCTCCGAGTCGTGGTGAGGAAAGAAAGAGCCGGCAGCGCCACTGCATGGGCGAGCGCCTACATAAATTTAAGCGGAGCTTCTTGTACCCTGATGAATATCTCCGCGCAAGCTGTTCTCCGACCC